TTAATTTGTTAGGAATAATGGAATCATCGCTAATTTGTTCTTTGTCTTACTTTTTGATATTATTTTTTTATAGGTATTAGCTCTGGTATATTAGGTGTTTAACTTTTTTATTATTTTATTGACAGAAAATCTAAATTTCTTGCTAAATTTCTACAGAGTTCTTTTGTTATCTCACTCTGTAAGTAGCCAGATGATCTGACATTGTAAGTAATTTTGGTTATTTAAAAAAGGCATTTGATTTAATTCATGAATTAAATCACTGACTCAAATACTTAATTCATTTGCAAACCCTGCACATAATACCTACCCTTCATCAATTATCAAGATAATAAAGTAGGTAGTTGTTATAAGTATACCATAGAAGTATAATAATACCCATGAGGTTTATTTCATCAATATACCTACATACCCATGTTCAATTTTGAAATTTCACAAGGGAAGATAAAATTATAGAAAAAGAAAACAAATAAGTATCAAGGGAAAATAAGTACAGACATATTAGTGATTATAAGTAGGTATGCATGCTTATCTACCTACCTCATTTTAAAAAGGTTTTGAAATGTTCATAATAAATAGGTATCATGAGTCACGACCCTGTGGTGTCACCGAGCAGGGTAACGAAAAAAATGAAAACAATATGTATTCATTTTTATTGTGTATGAGATATCATAAGGGCGCGGCAGGCTTCAGTTTGGATACTTTTTACAAATCGAAAAATGGATAACCATCAACATCAGCAAATATTACAATTTCGGAAACTCTTAACTCTATCAAAGTCTAGCTTCTCACTCAAAATTTATCTCTTTTTATAACAAAGATGCTGATAAAATGAAATGAAATAAGTATAAGCAACAAAGAAAACCGTTTACCTTCTCTCACACAAAGATGCCTCTTCCTAGAAGAAGCGTAGTTCCGATAGCTTCTAAAATGTCTTTCAAGTTGTCAAAACTTCTGTAAACTACGCGATCACTGATAGAATTAGCTTTCCACACTTTTCAATAAAAACATATGAAAATTTTCAACTAATTTGCTTAAAAATTGACAAAAACAGTTTGTTCTATCTCACTTTAGAAAATGGCGGATAGATCCATAGCCATCTTTGTTCCTTGTTCCCCTTTTGCCAGGGAGGACTGGAAGGAGAAATGAGAATGTGAGAGACGAGGAAATGCGCATGCTTCCACAAAGATTAGTTCATGGAACGAATACACATACACCACGCCGAAAGAAGCCGAGCTGGAATTCAATAATCAGATACCTATTCTTTATAGTTTATATTTTTTATATTTTTTCTATATTTAGATTTATTACCACACTTTCCAGCTATTTTAAACAAAAAAAAACTATCATTACCTAATAAGATCAATTGGATAAATAGCTGTGGTAATCTGGTAATAGAGGTTATTTATCCCTTGATAGAGAACGTGATCAAATTGTTCTCGTTTCCTAAATTATTTATGATTACAATAATAGTAATATTCTTTCAATCTGAGCCAACTGAAATATTTCACTAAAACTGAACTGAGTCGTTATCTCTCGAATAGCGATCAGTATGTACCTACAATGCATGTCAACTGATTCAGTTTAGTTCAAGTGAAATGTGTCAGTTCAGAATGAAAGAATATCACTTATATTTATCAAGGGTAATATAACAAGACCTTGATAAATAGTCGACTATTTTTATTGCATCTAAATTTCGACTGTATTTTCTAATAATTTAACGAGACATTATTTTGGCATTAATAATCTGATGAGAGCTCGAGAGCGAAGCTCGAGGGCTTTCATCTCTGATTATTAATGCCAAAATAATGTCGAGTAAAATTAATAAATACAAGAGAAATTTAGCAGCAATAAAATAGTCGACAATTAATCAAGGTCGTGTTATATTTGTGAAGATTATTTCTTGAATCCACTTCTCTATATCAGTCATATGAATAAATGAAAATTAAACAATTTGGAATAATTTATTCAAAATATCAAGAACAAACTACAAAATCTGAACAAAAACAGCACCATATTTATGATTTATCGATTGAAATTAAAAACACAATTATTATATGTGACATTTCCACCATGTGTAATTTGCGACATTTGTTCAGCTTTTGAAGAACTTGCAGTATTTACAGTAGAAGGTCCACATTCATTCTGATTTCTCAATCTGTTCAAAATATCCTGGTGATGTTGTTCATCCATCTGCAATTAAGGTTGAATCGAAGAAGTACTAGCGTAGCCAGTAATTTGAATGAGTTGCTGCTCTGATACTCCGGATTTTGCCAGTTGAGAAACTGCAGTTGACCTGCAAGAATGGTTTGTAATTTTCAATTGGTTGGTATCTAAACCAATAGACTTTGTTCCCAATCTAGTCCATTTTGAAAATTCGTTTTTTCCAACCGGCGAATTCTTGTACCACAATGAGTTTTTATTCTGCCAGATTGGAGTTAGGAACAAGCGTGGACATGTGATTTCTAGTCCTCTTTTTCCAATCAATTCTCTGAACAATCTAACTGGACAGCGCTGTGGGTTTTGTTCATTTTTAGTAAGCCACTTGCTGTTTGCGCATTTCTGGTTTCCTTCTTGACAGGTTTTTGTGAAAATTGGGTTATATTCTATCCTACCTGATCCATTATCATTATTCTGGATTTGAAATTTGAAATGTTCAATCAAAGCTGAACAACCTTCGCCCCCACGCCACGCTAATTCTACTGAAGCCAAATAGTAAAATTTTTTTTGAAGTCCATCTGGAGTTTTTTCATCGCATTTGTCAATAATAGCAAACATATTTTCTATACTTGAAGCCGTTGAACTCTGTTTCCGTTTTTCCAGATGTTTCTGCAATTCTCGTCTCTTGGCATTGCGTGCGTCTCGAGAACTTTTGAATTCGCACGCTTGAAATGGATCTATTTTTATGTAATACTTCTTGAAATACATCTCTTGAAGAGTTTTAGCTGTAGAATTCCACATGCACTTCACAGTATATTCTTTATAATCTTGCCCATGTTCTTTTTTCATATTCCAGGCCCAGTTTTTCAGAATATCATTCAGTTTTGTGATTGGTGTCGACTCATTCAATTCATATTGACGATGCCCGCAAAATTTAGTAAACTCTGATTCCATACGCTATTTTTACTCCTCACTGTATTGTCAGGGATGGTACCCTCGATTATCCTATCTATCTCTTCGTTTATATAGTTTCTCCAAATCGATTCATTTTCAAATATTTAAACAGCAGCTTCAACACGATTGATTTTATTTGACGTTTAAGATGTATTTATTTAGAGTACTGTCAGATGCACAGGTTCATTGATATATAGGTATTATGCTAAATAGTCAGTGACTATTATGCACCATGTAAATAGTCGCAGGTAATATCCCGAGACCATGACAAATAGCCGACTATTATTTTCGTCATAATTCTTTCGAGAGTACCTTGTATTTTGACAATTTGATGAGACCATATGAACATTAATAATCTGAATAACTCCCGAGAGCTTTAGCTCGAGGGAGTTATTCTATGATTATTTATGTTCATATGGTCGAATTGAATTGTCCCAAGATACAAGTTACTCGAGATGAATTAACGAAAATAATAGTCTCTATTTGTCAAGGTCGAGTGATATTCAGGAAGATTATTTCATGAACAGTGCAAAAATTCTGGTTTATATGAGTTTCGACATTTTATTCAAGTACCAATTCTGCAGATACTATTTGAATTCTTCTGAAGGCCGTCTGGGGTATTCTCATCATATTTACGTACAATTTTAATCAAGTCATCTAAAGTTAGAGCAAAGAAAGAATATTAACGCTATTGATAGATAGATAGATTAATATTCTCTGTTAGAGCTCTTGTTCTTCCCTTTGTTGTTTGAGGAAAATATTGTAGGCTTCGCTTTTTTTACATTATGCGCAACCCTGGCACCTTTGAATTCGATATATTCAAATGGATTTGTCTCACGTTTATTTCATTGAAGTAACCTTCCTGTATATATAGTTTTCCATATCAATTGAAACTGTGTATTCCTGATATTCCTCACTATTCTCCTCACCCAATCTTTTTGGATTCGGGCAATCACGAGAGATGGTGTAGTCGCACAAAATTCATAGTTTTTCTGCTGGCAAAAAAACATGAATTGTTCCAGACAGACTCTTTACTCTCCTTGTTATTTTCTAATATCGATTCGCTCACATGATTACGGATTTCCGTAGTGGAAGTTGACCCAAAACGAGACATTTCAATTTTTGAGTGACTGATAGCCGATAGGTATGTCAAAGTTTGACAACCATATAGCACTCTTATGCTGGCGAACAGAATAGCCGCTCATATTGTTTGTTTACCTAAATAGCCGCTGATATCGCATATCATGTGACTTCAATCATGACATTTCATAGGTCCAGCCGGGTGTGAATGAAATAATCGCTAATAGAGCGTGTTGATTGGTCCTGTCAAACAGGAAACAAACGTATCATTGGTTGATGACTGATATTTAATAGATGAAAGAAATAATCATAAATATCTCACAAATTCATAATGTTCTCTGTTGATTCCATTACTTTTTTTCATTTTATTAATTATGTTTGCATCAATGATATCCATACAAAATTGGATCTACCATGGATCTATATTCCTTGATCCTTGAGCTATTACCTACCTATCACTTTTATGAGAAAAGAGTAGAAACTGTCTATATCTACCTGCCTATACCTATAATGAAGCAGAAAGTAAAAATCTATAACAGTGCATTATTATCATTTTCATGTAAGGAACGTACAAAAGTGCGGATACATCTTTTCTTACTGAGCGCATGATGAACAAAATTTTTATGAAAATAAATTAATAAATTATTAACAGTGATACAAAATGAAACTGAGCCGGTCCTGAATTCGATGTAACTCTCAGTTTTGGTTAAAGTTTTAGTAACATTTCAAAATCCCTAATTCAGTGACAGAACTGACAGGAGTGACAGGAGAACAGGACAGTGACAGATTGACAAGTTGTCGGTTGTGTTGTGTGTGTGTGAGTGTGTGTTGGGTTGCGATGTCGGATATAGGAAGTGGCGATGAGGGTTCAAGTTCGCAAAGTGAGTATTTGGAAAATATAAATTGTAAGACATCAATGTTATAACAAATTCGATGTCCCAGTGGTCTTCGAATCGGATATCAATAACATTTCATGCCTTGAATATGCCGAAGAAGTTTGACAACTGAACCAAAATGGCGAATTTCAATTGTTCTCTTTTTCTAATTTCATAATTTCCCTCACTATCAATCGAATGTCGGCGTTCGAAAAGGTCTTCAAATGGAAGACATGAAATCCTTCAGCAAACTCAAAACTCTAGAAAGAATCAGGTCATCAAACGTGTTAAAATTGCGGCAAAAGATCTGCAATAAGTTCAACATTGTGGTAGTCAAATATAGTGACCTTGGCTAACGTCAATTTGGTTGCCTTTTTACTGGAACGAAATGTCAAATCGTTGAAAAATGACCCTTGTAGGTCAGAGAGATACTTCCTCCTGTTTTTGATGAGATTTTTTCAATTTATCCGAATAACATTATTGGATTATGGTGAAATAAGAGTAACAAGTATTTCTTCACTCTGAAAATATTGAACGTCATGTGCATTTTTCAGAGTACCATCAAGGAATGGAGCAAGGAAGTGAATATGATTCAGGTATGTTAGGACAAATTTCACTAATTATTATGATTAGGCCTTATATAGCACCTAAAATATTCAAAATAATTATTTAAAAAAGTTCTTATGTACCTATTACAAAATGTTGATATGATATTTGATAACAGAGAGGAGATTCTGTTATGAATGAAATTCCTTGATGATGACTCATGTGATTCTTGGAATTTCATAGTAACTTCTTTACTATAGAATTCTCATCACAGTGATTCATGTTTAGTTGATCTGATTCCTTTGATGGATGAGCTACATACTTTGAATTTCTACATTTATTATGGCTTCTTCTGATTGGACTTTGGGTAGAATACAATACTGGCATGATCCTAGTGGGTATCATTAGAATCAAGTTATTTAAGTCAATCTATATAAATTAAAAAAAAGTTATTTTCAGTGATTTATCATTTGACCATGTTTTTGTATTTCTTTTTCAGGTCAGCAGGGACAGGTGGAGCAAGAACTGGCAACTAAAATGTTGCAGATACAGAGTAAAAGATTCTACCTAGATGTCAAGCAAAATCGGAGAGGTCGTTTCATCAAAGTTGCAGAGGTAGTTGTATCTCTAGTAAAGTGAAGTATTTATATTTTTATTTGATTAGATTGGTGCTGATGGTCGACGGTCCCAAATTTTCCTTGCTTTATCCACTGCTGCTGAGTTCAGAGATCACCTCTCTGCTTTTAGTGACTTTTATTCCTCACTGGGTAAGTTCAGAATTATTTTTTTATATCTGTTGATGCTCTTTTGTTACCAAATATTGAAACCTAGATTATACCACTGCAAAGGTCACTGCAAATTTCTGTATTTTTGTTGAAAATGCTCATGAATCATGCAATTGATAAGAAGTTTGTAATGGATTCAAATTGATTTCATTATTATTTGTTGGTGTTATTTGTGATATCCCAATTTTTGTTATTATTTATTTATTTATTTATTTATTTTATTTATTTATTCATCAAAGTACACCACAGAATAATATTTAATTCCAAATGGTACATAAAGTATAAAATATTAGTTATATAACAATAAACATTCAACACATTTAAAATCATAAAAACTATATAAATATAGGATACAAAAAAAAACTCATAAAACTATGTATGTACTAATTCAAATCCAGACCATACCTTGTGATTTGCTTGTGATTTAAGGCGACTCAATGAAATATTGAAAATATCAAGGGAAGCAAAATGATGATTGTAATTCTTCTGAAGTTTAGATGTGAATGCAGTGCTGCCATAATTAGTTCGGTGATTTTGCAAATAGAAAAACTGCCTATTTCTAGTATTCCTAGGAGTAGCATCTCGAGTAGCATTTATGAACTATTTGTTCAGGATATCAGAGCAATCTATGGAGTTATTAAAAATTTTGTGCAGAAACAAGATCAGAGCAAGTCTGCACCTGTCTTCAAGAGTTTGAATGTTAACTATTGTGAGCCTCGTAGTAGTTTTATAGATTATGAATTTTGTAAAGCGATTCTGAACTCTTTCAAGTCTTTCCTTGTGACCAAGATAAAATGGTGACCAGATTATGCTGTTGTATTCCAGAACACTAAGTACCAAGGATAGATATAATGTTTTTATTGATTCAATGATTGTGGGTTTTCATTTTACAAAGGATATAGCAGATTGGAGGTGGATGTAATATAATTCTTTATATTTATTTCAATTGATTGTGATAACTCAGATAACATTGCAGATCCTATCCATGTTCATGAACAATGTGTTATTTGAACTAGAGTTTCTTAATGCATTTGACACTTCTATTTTATTCAGAGTTCAGACACTTGATAATCATTGACAGTCAGACATAACCACAAAAGATATTGAAGCAGATCATAAAGACTTGAACCCTTCTTGTGTCTTCAATTGCTATCTTTGTCTTTAATTTTTTAATGGTCTGGTCTGGAGTTGGAAAGAGGGTATGATGAATTAAATAGTTACAAATTCAAATTGTAATGCAATAGTTGATGGGATGTAATACATGTACATATTAATATGATGTATGATTGATTCATGATACTTTATTATCAGTTTGAAACCAGCCACAAGTTCCTTCCAGGACATCACCAATTATTCAAGGTGTGAGCCATACCACCAAGGATCCTTTATTACTAATTAACACTTGTGGCTGGCCATGATATTACCGAAACTTTCAAAACATGTCCCCGGATGAAAATAATTTTTAATTAATATATTCCTCTCAGGGTCCTTGATAATTTGTTTATCTCACAACATTTTGTTGGTCAATAACAAACCCCACAAGAGCCCTTTTCATGAATTTCCGAAAAATATCAAAATTCAGGAGGGGTGAAAGAACTTACAGTCACAACCCCACCACATAAACAATTTAATAATAACCAATGGTCATGGACATAAGGACATGTTTCAAAGATCAGTAAGAAGAAACAATGCTTATGTTAGTTTTTAAGTATTAATTAAACATCTAAATTTATCTACCATTATTGGTGGAAAAAGATTACCTATTGAAAAAACATGAAAAAACTATTTTTAATCATGCATAGTGCAGGTGAGTAACAGTTAGGGAACCATGATAGCAGCTCTATAAGAGCTTAGTTTTTGAAAATAATATGATATGAACCAACATGTGGGCCTGAATTTGTTGAATTAGGTCAACTTATCACAAATGCCAATCGACAAATGACAATTGATAACAAAACACAACATCAGAATGACACCAGTCAAGTCAAAACCAAGGATTATTTTGATTTGAAGTGACATAGAACATAGAACAAAATTGTAGTTAAAATAACAAGGAGTTGAATAATTTAAGACTATTGAATTGAGTTTGTTCATTGAGGCAGTTGAGGTTAGAATTTTTGACAGCTTTATTAATTTCCAGAGTTTCCAGAAGGTCAAGTTTTTTTCCTGTGTCACGGATATGAAAAATTTCTGTTAGAATTGGAATCAAAAGAGTGTTTGTCATTGATAATATGGTTAGGACATAGAACATAAGCCTTGTTTCTTCTTACAGATATTCTCTCTATAAAGTTGCTGATGAAGGATTAATCCTTCGAAACATGTCCTTATGTCCATGACCGTTGGTTATTATTAAATTGTTAATGTGGTGGAGTTGTGACTCTTGAGTTCTTTCACCCCTCCTGATTCATATCTCCTCCAATGTAAGTTATTGGTCACCTACGTTGGTTAATATCAGAAAATCAGCAAAATACATGTGGATGGGAGTTTTTTTTTTATAAATGTTTTCCTCTTATGGTAATTGATGATGTCAATATCTCACAATGTCAGTTTCGACCATAAATTTTTGTGCATACACATAATATTTAAAATGTTCACAAGCTTGAACAATTGCCAGCAGCTCCTTTTCAATTTGGGCGTATCTGGACTGTGTTGGTGTTGGATTGCACTCCGTTTTGCCTGGCTGATTTGGGCCCCTTCTGGACTAATTGACTGTCCTAAGAATGTGATCTTCTGACGGGCTAACTGCATTTTACCTCTATTGAACTTGAGGTTTGCAGTCCTGGCTCTAGTTAGAACAGACCGCAGTCTCTGGTTATGTTGCTCTAAAGATTCTCCTGTTATCAGCACATCATCCATATATGTGTATACTCCTTCTAAGCCTTCGAGGGTATTATGTATTGCTTTCTGCCATACTTCCGGGCTGCTACTAACTCCATATGGCAGTCTTTGGAAACTGTACCTGCCAAACGGTGTTGAAATTGTACATATTTTTGTGCTTTCTTCTTCCAGGGGAATTTGTAGAAAGGCAGAAGAGGCATCTAACACAGTAAAAATTTTTGCATTCCCAATTTCTGCTAATATGTGATCCACAGTTGGGAGCTCATAATATTCTCTCTGTATGAATTTGTTCAGAGACCTTGAGTCCATGCATAACCTGGTTTTACCATTAGGTTTTTTAGCTAGCACTATTGGGTGCACCCATTCTGTTGGCTCCTCTGTCTTTTTTAATATCCCATCTTGAATCATTTTTTCAATTTCATTTTTTACTTGATTTCTTAGTGCATATGGGATTTTTCTAGCACAACTCACTGAAGGTGTTGCATTATCTGCTAACTTCAATTTATATTTTTGTTGTAGTCTGCCTAGACCCATGAAAACATCTTTAAATTCCTCTACTATTTTTTCTGCTGTCATATCTGGGCTAGAAACTTCAGCTACTTCTCTACTTATAAGACTGAAGGTTTCCATACCTTCTAGGGATAACAGTGGCCTTCTATTTTTAGTTGTTATGAAGTATTCCAAGACATGTTCTTTGTTACGTAGCTTGGTGTTTAGTTTGACTATTCCAACAACTGGTATTTCATGATCTGTGTAGCTTGAGATGGTACGTTGTGTTTTCTCAATTTTTGTTTTGATTTTAGAGTATCAAACACTCTTTTTGGTAAAATGCTTACATGTGAGCCAGTGTCCATTTTGAACTTGACAATTTTTTCACCCAGTTCTACGTTTTCGTACCACTCTTTTGACACACATGAGACTATGTTCTCCACTAGAATGCTTTCATTTACAGTACCCACATAATCACTGTCATCACTGAGTTCATCTTCATTTTGTTCAATAACGTCCACTGTCCTTGTTCGGCACATTTTTGGTAGGTGATTTTTCTTGTTGCACTTCTTGCAGGTTAGACCCCATGCACTACAGCTTCGTGGTTTATGGTGCTTGCCACATCTTTTGCACAAGAAAGTTTCCTCTTGCTTTGGTCCACTTCCTTGTTGCTTAGGCTCTCTTTTCTTGATTACATTTACTTGCTGGTTCTCTGAATACTCTGTAGCATTCTGAGAGCTCATAGCCTTTTTCTGTACTTTTGCAATCTCTTCAGCCCTGCAGATTGTTATTGCTGTCTGAAGTTGTAAATCGCTCTCTTTAAGTAACAGGTCCTTTGTGGTTTGATCTCCAATGCCACAAAGTATTCTGAAAGCTATAAGTTCCTCAGTGACTGCTCCGAAATTGCAGTCTTTTGCTAATATTCTTAGGTTAGTTAGGAATTCATCAAAGCTCTGATTTTCCTTTTGTGTTTCCATGAAGAACTTGTATCTGATATTGGTGGTGTTCTTATATGGCTTTTAGTGTTCGGATATGCCATTCAGTATTGCATTAATGGTTAGGTTATCCCCTGTGAGTGATTGACCTGCTCCATCAACAAATTGGAATGTATTATACAGTTCCAGCCCTGTTGGACCTATAACATGCAGTAGAGTAGCTCGTTGTTGTGATATGGGTTTGGCGGTCAGCTCGGCGACTTCTATGAATATTTCGAATGACTGACGCCATCTTTCCCAATCAACCGCTGGATTGTCACCTATGGTGAATCCTTTGGGTGCTTTGAAAGCCATATTACTTTCTGAAGAGACGAAATTTTTGGGTTTTCTTTATTTCCTTAACCTCACTTTTACTTTTCCCTCCTTTTGATATACTTTGGATTTAAGCGAATTTTTAGAGTTCCACTAACCGCTGTCACCATGTTACATACTTCTCTTGTGTATGTAATGAAGTTTATTATTCAATAAATAATCAGTTATTATAATATGTTGCTTTATTAACTTTTATTTCAAGTGACTGCAAAATAGTCGATACATGAAATTGCATGATACACCAAACATGATATGGGCGTCCTGTCAGTTGTTGACGCATGTCATTAGACAATTGACATGCGACAACATGTCAGGGTAAAGGTTGATACACAAGTTGTGAAGCCTATG